GGATTTGTGGGCTTGGACAGCACTGGGTTGGGATATATTTCTTGATGTGCACTTACCCTTTATATAAAACTCTCTCTTATACATATGAGTTTCTGTAGAATTGTTTCTCTAATGTATCTAGACACATACCCCTCAAAGATGCCAAAACTGGTGCCTTGACATGATTTAATCAAAGAGTGCAGAATTCTTTGGGAGAAGAGTTAGAGAGAGGGACACCCCCTGCTATCTAGTGTCCATACCGAGATGGAGGAATGTCAAGAAACAGCAGCTTCAGTTTGATGTTTTTGTTTAATAAAGGTTTCTATGACTCTCGGGTCATTGCATACCCTGATGCGAGGCAACCAGGCCTGGGCAACATCACATAGAACATGTACATTTATTCTGTAAGAAACTGCATAATCCAAAGAATGTCATCTACCTGTCTCTCAGACTTTAAGCACACCCTTCTGTTACTAATTCTTTTCTTTAACCATTCTTTTAAGATAGTTGACACAAAAAACTGCACTGCACTGTGGTGGTTGCATAATCTGTTGTCAATTTGAGACTTAAGAGTAAAGGGGTGGAATTTAGCCTTTCAATCAGGTCACAGCTTGATGACCTCATTTGGAGACACTAAGGAGATAAATAGCTAGCTGGAGGTGGGACACTCACTCACACCCTACATTACTGACAGTGATCCAGATAGAGCTACGCTGATCCAGCCCGAGCTCTGGAACCATAGGAGCCACGTGGAGACCCACACCAACACTGAGATGCTTATACTGCCACTCGATCCACAAGACTTTCCAACCACTGGCTTGTGATCTTCCTGTGTTCAGCATCATTGCATGTGTTTTGTGAGTCTGAAGAGGAATTTAGACATTGGTATCGGACATATGGACTAATATCAGACTTATGGAGTTGATGTGGAGTGGGCTGGGATGTTTTTTTAATATTAAATTGCTCTTTGTTTACAAAGCTCTTTCTTATACACATGAGTGCCCTTGAATTTGTTTATCTAGTCTACCTGGACTGACACTTTATGGTACCTTGGGAGTGGGGTACTAGAGAAAAATCGTGAATATGGAGAATGGATGTTTATTTGACTTCTGCCTCGTGGTAGTGTTTCTTCTTTGGTTAGCCAGAAGTCAGATTGTCCATGCATGTGGTTTACTGGGTTGTTGTCTGGAAAGAAATGGGAAGTTAAAGTTTTGATTCTTTTCATTGGTTGTAGTCTTTGGTTATCCCTGTTTGAAATGGTGAAAATGAATGTGATTAATGTATATTTTGAGGTCAAGGGACAAAATCGCCCCTTGAATTTCTCAGAGCTGCTTAGTGAAAATGGCTGACATGTCAGAATGGCTGGCTCTGGCTTGTGGCTGTTAGAGACCTACTCCCATATTTTGTTTCAATAGAATAGTTAAGGATTAAGGTAAGCCAAATAAGTATTGAACTTGACTGTTTTAAGAATTGAGATTAGTATTTGATTCTGCTTTGCTTATACTAATTTCTTCTGATAATTATTGTTGATAAAATGATTGATAGAAATTATTATTGGGAAGTATGAAAATAGAGAGTTCGTTCATAAGCCCACTTGTCTTCAGCCATTAAAATTGGGACTTTAAATGGGTTTAGGCCACACCTATAAAGAAGACTCTGAAAAGATTAGCCCTACCCAGTGCTCTGGAATACTCAGGACATTTGCATTCCAAGAGAATTGCCTAGGGCACTGCTGACAGATTAAAGGGAAACTTTGGATTTTTGAATTTTGAACAAGTAGTTTGTGCTTGAGTCTGGAAAAAATCTGGAACCATGAAGAAAACTCCTTTCTAGGACTGAACGTTAAAAGAAACCTTTGGGCTGGCTGAAATGCTTGCTACGTTACCACCTGGATACACTTGAAGGGAAGTGGGAGAAATGCAGCAATGAAGGAGATGGTTGAGTCTGGCCACTGACACCTGTGGACTTGGTTTACAGGAATTAGAGAATACAAGAGTGGTTGACTGGTCTGAAGTTTATGACCTAGCCCAAGGGGGCTAGGCTTGTTGAGAATTTGTGACAAGCCCATGGTCTAAAGGCAAGGTGATTAGTGGGCACCCTGGTGAGGCTAAGTGAGGTAGCCCATATTGAGTTGACCAGAACCCAGCCAGATGAAGAGAAGATTTTTCAGCCTGTGAACTGGTGCATATTGCTGCAGACTTTATGGATGGCCTGTCCTGATTTGACTTTGCTTCTGGATGTGGATATCACAAGGTTCCAACCGGAATGAAGATTCTTCACGTCAAAGAATATGATTGTCTCCTCAGATCACTGTAAGTAAATCTGAGTGTAAGTGGGCAGTAAAGAAATTGGATACCCGGGCAGGGGGGAAATAAATAAATAAATTGGATGCCCAAAATGGGGAGGATAAAGGCATCAAGTGGTTGGCTTACAAAATTTCATAGGTGCTGGAATACAATATATACTCGTGTATAAGCCGAGTTTTTCAGCACATTTTTAATGCACTTTTTGTGGTAAAATTAGATGCCTCGGCTTTTATTCAGGTTGGCTTATACTTGTGTATATACAGTATATTCATAGGAATATGTTCATAGGATTGTGGTGTAGGTGTTCACATAAGTATAAGGTATTTTTGTTTTGTTCACTTATAGAATGTTTTGTTTAAATGAGGGTGGCACATATTGAATTGTATGCATTTCAGTTTTATCCTGTTAGATACAGATAGGATTTTATTATTGTTTTGAAAATTGTATATGGCTAAAGAGTTTTGTGAAAGTGTCAAATTGACAAGGGGTGGTCTGTGGTAGTTACATAATCTTTTGTCAATTTGAGGCTTGAGTAAAAGGGTGGAACTTAGCCTGTCAATCAGGTCGCAGCTTTATGATCTCATTTGGAGGCACTAAGGAGATAAATAGCTTGCTGGAAGCGGGACACTCGCTCGCTCCCTTTGAGACATTACTGAGGACGAGCCTGATAAAGCTACATTGATCCAGCCAGACCTCTGGAGCTGGAGGAGCCACGTGGAAACCCCCGCCAGTGCTGAGATGCTTCCACCACCACTGGGATCCACAGGACTTTCCATCCACTGGCCTGTGTTCTTCCTGCATTTGGCGTCATTGCATGTGTTTTGTGAGTCTGACGAGGACTTTATAGATTGGTATCGGACAAAAGGGGTAATATCAGACTTAAGGACTTGATCTGGACGGGTTGGGCTATTTTCTCAACATTGAATTGCATATAAAGCTCGCTCTTATACATATCACTTATGAGTGTCCATGAATGTGTTTTTCTAGTCTACCTGGACCAACACATGCACCCTCTACCTCAACCTGATTTTGCTGACATAACCCTAACAAGAATCTTCACAGGACTCTTTCCTAAACCTTGCTTTGCCCACTTGAGATCTATAACTCTAGGTTGTTTAAGAATGAATATCATTTAGCATGAACAAAAATGGGGACTGATAAAGTTGAATTTTACCTGAACCCACTGTAAAATAAATCCTACCCCATTTTGTTCTGGCAAACAGCAGGACTTAACTCTAATGAACAAACTCAATGATTTATGCTGTTAATTTTATTGTTTCTTCATCCTTTTCTTTCCAACATCCTCTTGCATCCCCAGGATTCACTAGCCTCACCATAAAAAAGGAAAACTTTCTGAGCAAACTGGAAGGACTGGCCACTTCAATACATCACTCACCCATCCCATTGCCCCTTAACTTTCTATTTAAAAGCTTGCCATCTTGTCTCAACAGAGTTGGCTTTGAGCCATTTCTGGAGTCTCTGTCCCCTGCCTGTTAGTTCTTTGTTCACCCCTGCCATAGCTTAACCGTGTCTAGCAATCTTTGACAGTTCTGGTGCCATGACTCTGACAGAATCAGATGCGTTCCTGAAGCCCCCAGACCTTCATCTAGGACCTGAGGTACCACCTTAATATTGTTTGGTGCAATTTTCTAATTCCCAGTACAGTATTTTCATCAATGAAAACATTAACTTCCACCAGGGTCCTGATAGTGTAGAGGCAAATTCCAAATTACTGAGTGGTCAGTGTATAAGCAATGCTCTGAGAAGTAGAATTTTTGACTCATGTGACCTCTGCCCAATTAAGTATGTGTCGAGTGCATGTTTCCTTTTCATAGTTTCTCAACTAGATTCATCTGAAGCAGAACACAAAGCATGGTACACAATAACCATTACTTGGGTTGCTGAGACAGGGAAAATGGCCTTAGTTCTGACTTCATTAGCTTATGACCCAGTTGCTAAGTGTATATATTGTACAGGGTAGAGAAAGATGGATGTTTAGAGTACAGCTGAAATCTGTTTTAACTCAAGTCCATGGATTTAACATTTTGGCAGAAACGTCGAGCTTCCTCTGAGGATTCCAAACTCAAGCCAGAAGAAAAAGCAGGGTACTCATCAGAGGCAAACTTAGTCTATCATAAACATGTGAAGCGAGTGAGATTGAGTCCTAAGGCTTTGGGGACACACTTGGTATCAGGAGCATGGTGAATGCTGAAGACCTAGACACGGCAAACAGCTTTTCATTTCATGTGTGGAGGGTTTCCAGTCCGGGCCTCTCCGTAGCAGCAGGTGGCTCTGAGACAGGTCCGGTTGGGTGTTTCCTGTGTTCTGACAATGGAGACATTCTAGGGCTGTTCATCTTTCGGTGGTTCTGTGTCTTCCCTTTCTTGGCTCATTTCAAGGTTTGTTGCATGGGATTAAAATCCACTGAAATGAAGACAAAATATGCATCCAGCTATGACAGCAAAGTACTGTACCTGATGAGCCTCCTGCCTTAATTATGAACTGGAACAAACTATCTGTGAGGTGATTGCTTTCAGACCCTGGAGTCCCTGAGGGTATCGTCCTGAGAGCCGAGCACAGTGGTCCCCCCATGCTGATGTGTTTTAAACATGCTGATGGAAAGCCCCAGAAGTGAATGTTTTATTCTCAATTGAAAGTGAGGGTTTTGTCATCATATCCACCCATCTCAGGTTGTTCCTCAAAAGGCAGAGGTAGTGAAGGAGGCAGGAAATAAGATTTTTATTGAAAGTTCTTCAAATATTATACAAACTTGATTTGAAAGGAATTGCCTTTTTTATTTTGCCAAGATGAGTCAAATGCAAAAAAAACAAACAAACAAAAACCAACCTTAAAATAAATGTATACTTAACCCTTTTTCCATGAAGTGAAATTATCAAAACTGTTTATTTTCCCATATGAAATGGCTAATCCAGATAATAATTGGACTGCAGGTGACAAGTTTACATTACTCCCTCCTTCCTCCCCTTTCCCTTATACCCACAGGTCTTTCAGTGCCGATCTAAGGGGTTATCCCTTCTTGGACTAAGGATGGATGATATCCAGGTCACAGGCCCATGGCCAAGTGGACAGACGGACTTCTGTTCTCCACTCCGGCCACCATGTCGTCAATGGCGTTCCAGTCGAGCTTGCTGAGGATGCTGCCAGTGCTGTCAGACACGCTGTCCATGCCGCTCAACCCCATACAAGGTTCTGGCTCTTCCTTTTCAGATGGCGACAAGCCCTATCAAATTGAGAAAGACAATGAAATGTGGTCCTAGGCATGGAGACAAAACAAGTGGCGCTTGAACTAAGCGCCCTAAAGCTTAGAGAGCTGCTCATCTATTACAGGCCTGAAGGTAAAGTGACGGGGTCAGGGCTGTGATCCCAGCACAGCTAGATGCTTGGCACCAGACATGAAAAATGGACAGAAAGGGTTTTTATACCTACTACAGTGAACTACTCTTAGTTCAAAAGGCAATAGAAGGTTCAGAAGAACTCTCTCAACTCCAGAGTACTAAGCCATATGTGTAGATCCCTTCAACCACTGCTTCAAACTCACCTGGCAATCTTTCAGGAGAGCAATAGCCCATTAAAAAACATCATCAAAAGCGTTTATATTGCCTTTTTGAACAAAGAGGGATCACTAGGCAAAGTGAGGTCTGGAACAATACTTACTTTCAGAAGGGAATCCTGGCTCGCATGCAGAATCTCATGGATCTCTGGAGGGAGTGTCCAGGGACTCAGCACAGTTTCCTCTCTCTCATATTCTATGCACACCTCCATGGCTTGCGGCACATGCCCAGCACGTCTGTATTTTTTTGTGTGCTGAGGACTATGACATGGAGCTCCAGAGCCTTGACAGGAAAAGACCAGAGAATACATTACACCCCATCACTCATTTGTTACTGTGACTTTTACTGACAAAGCTATGCAGCCATGTTTTGCCTAGTATTTGGGTCACAGGAGGCATATGTTTCACCTTAGGGTTCTATCGATTCCAGTCACTGTGAAGAGAAACAGAATGTTGATCACCTCAGCTGGGCCTCTCATGGACTCTTATGGATGTTCTTAGGGACAATGCTTCAGGCATCGTTACCCAGGCCACAGCCCTACAATATGCTTTTGGCCACAGGCTTGAGGTTAAGTGTGGTGACATCAAGGCATAGCCCTTTCCTACTTACTGTATATTAGTACTGGCTGGAAAGAAATTAGCCTCCCTCAGGTGGTGCCCAAAGGGATCTTAGCAAAGCCATTAACTAACAGTGCTTCTGTGCACAAAGCCCTAAAGGGTCTTGCCACATTGCCAAACGTCATGTAACAGGACAAGTGATTTCCTGAAGAAACACCCAAGACATGGGGTAAGATGGAAGTCAACATAATAGGTTCCTGACAAGGAGCCATTGGTCCCTCCCCCCAGAAAAAATTATTTCAAAGGACAGCATTGAATCTGCAGCTCCGGGAGAGGGACA